CCCCCCCTTCAATTTCTATTGAACATAACAACGAATAACGAATGTGGTGTGAATTCTTTGGTTTTAACCAATTAACTGATTCAGAACCCAAGTTTTACAGCTAATGCATAATGCAAAGATTTTTTGTCTGTAATGACTCATGCTCTTTTCACTGTTATCTCTGTTTTTCTTCCCCAATCTTCTTTTCCTGTCATCTCAGTAGTTGCATTCCTCCGTCAAAATCCTGTATCCCCTCTCCTATTCTTCTGGCCTTGCTGTCCCCTTCCATTTTTTTTTCTCAATTGATCTTTTCTTGGCTATCAGCTACTATCACTCCCTTTCTTTAACTCTTTTTTCCCCCTCATCACCCCACCCCTTAGGTATCCATTTTATCCTCTCTGCTCTCATCACTAAGCCCCACATACACATGATGTGGAGTTATTTTGTACCCTAGTTTGTCCTTTCTGTTTCTACCTTGTGTGTGTCCTCCTTGACATTTATGAACTACACCACTTCAGCCTACTAGTATCATTTCCATTCTAACACTTTACAAGAAAATGTTACCCCACCCCCCACATTATATAATTTGTTTGTAGTTTTAACCAGGAAGTCATAAAAATGCAAAACAGTGGTTATTAAGGCATTGTTTGTTTTTTCTGAACAAGTGCCTACTGTGACATTTTGTTGTCTTTCTGTGCCGAGTACTATGGTTAAAACTCTATTATTTGTGAGTTTTAACTTCCCGTTCATTAATCTATGGCTAGAACATATATCACAATTTTACTTTCTACACAAACAATTTACATATTAAATGTGTTGCAACAGTTCAAGACCGACGGTCAAGCTATGAATATGATTGGTTGTGTAAAAAGGAAAACTTATTACAGTTTTCCAAAATGAAGATATGACTAGAACAAGGTGATACCATAGGATTTTTATACGCCCTTCAAATTTGACGGAAGTATTATGGTATTGGGTTGTCTGGCCGGCCTGCCGGCGTAATTTTGAGTCAACAATTTTTCCAAAAGTTATTGAGCTTTGTTCATTTCAGTATTTGATTTTTTGTCCGGAGATTTTCTTCTACATTATTTATAACATATGTCAGCTAACCACTCTTAGTATGATGCAGATCTTATTTCAATGTAAGAAAGAATATAAAACTATATGGCATTCGATGGGCGTATATTGTTCCGCCCCGCGGTACTCTTGTTTATGTTCAAATATGAATTTAATATAGATAAGATATCAATATGGAGTGAATTGGGTATCAACCCACTCACCTCTCATAGTCACATTTGAACCTTACCAAATCACAGATAAATGTAGGGGTTGATGAGTTAAATAAACGAGAAATTCATGATGATTTTTACTCAAAAATGTTGATTTGGCTATAAAATTTCAGTTGTGAATATGAGATTTGTATGTATGCCAGCAAATTAATTGTTGGCAGGAAACAGCAAATTAATTGTGGACAGGAAACAGCAAATTAATTGTTGGACAGGAAACAGCAAATTAATTGTTGGCAGGAAAGGCTATGTCCTGGTACTGTAGCACTGAAAAACACCTATTTTAAAGCCTTGTATCAAAAAGTGTCCTGTTATTTGTAAAATAAATGAGTTGGTAAAAGTTAGGTCCTGTAACCATTAAAAAGTAATATTTTATAAACTTATCACAACTGTCAGCTGGTGTTGATAAAATAAACAAAATCCCATTGTAGTAATAGAAGCAATAGTTGACAGATCAGCATGGTCCTATGAACTTTGACCTATTCAGCTGCAGGGTTTTAAGGTAGGGCGACCCATTCTTCTCTATAGGTTACAGGCCTCTTTAGGGGGTAAGAACATTTTGAAATGAATCCTTGTGATGTTGCTTCAAAGTGTTTAAAAAACAAATAACAGCACAATGGATCAATGTAGTTGGAGATTTTTATGCCCCCGCCATAAAATAGTGGGGCATATAATGTTGCCCATGTCTGTCCCATCCCGATTCAATATAAACACTTAGCAACNGGGGGGCATATAGTGTTGCCCATGTCCGTCCCGTCCCGTCCCGTCCCGACCCGATTCAATGTAAACACTTAGCAACTTCATTCAATATGAGATGGTAATAACATACAGAAAAAATATGAATATTAAAATCAACTTATCAACCGTAAGTGTATAGTACCTTGTGTGTGTGCATGTTTCAGGGTATCCAGATCAAAGTGGTTGTAACTCTTTATAGAACACTGAAACTAATGGGGGCATTTATGTCTTACAGACATTTTCTAGTCTTTTAATATATTTCTTTCATATAAAACTCTTTGCAATAGTGAATAAGCAAATGATTCCTAGACATAAAAGGGAGAAGGTAACAGCTCCATTCAATCTCCCTTTACACAATATTTAAATACCTCATTTGGGCACCTCGACTCTTTTGACTTGTAAAATAAAGTGATTGAGCTACAGGGGGTATTCTGATACATTGCTTTGGCAAAAAGACGTGAAATGATATTTTCATAGTTGTTTTGAATATATCGGACAATTGTACCCTAAAAGAAGACCATTGACTGGATGTGTTTTAGTTGTTAGGTATGGTATGAATAGTTGCCAACCATAGAAACCATTGATATGGGTTATGACACCCTTTATGATCTTCAGTTTCACAGGTTTTTTTTTAACCCTTTTACCCCCTATGTAACTTTAGTAGACTCTGCCATGCATTGATATGGATGAGTCCATTATGGTCTACAGTGGTGAAAGGGTTAATTATTAAAACAAGAGGTGTTTTGAAAAAACGTCTCTTTATTGCCAGAAAAATACAAATATATATTTTTAACAAATATTCAATGTGATATAGGTTAAAATAAAAGGATTATTGGGGAGAAAGGGTTCAAAAACATAAATTGTGGGTTATTGAATACACCCCTGATGGGTGATATGTTGTCTTGGGTCAATCCATGAAATTCAGGGTTGATGCGGTATCGTGTGCTAACCTTTGACCTTATGTTTCAGGTGTTTGATGCGGTATGGTGCACTGACCATTGACCTTCGTGTTTCAGATTTTTGATGCAGGTCACTGTGTGCTAACGATTGACCTTTATGTTTTGTGTTTGATACAATATGGTGTACTGACCATTGACCTTATGTTTCAGGTGTTTGGTGTGCTAACCTTTGACCTTTGTGTTTCAGGTTTTTGATGCGGTATCTTGTGCTAACCTTTGACTTTTGTGTTTCAGGTGTTTGATGCGGTATCGTGTGCTAACCTTTGACCTTTGTATTTCAGGTGTTTGATGCGGTATGGTGCAATGACGATTGACCTTTGTGTTTCAGATGTTTGATGCGAGTCACTGTGTGCTGACGATTGACTTTTATGTTTCAGGTGTTTGATGCGGTATGGTGTGCTGACGATTGACCTTTATGTTTTGTGTTTGATACAGTATGGTGTACTGACCATTGACCTTATGTTTCAGGTGTTTGATGCTGTATGGTGTACTGACCATTGACCTTGATGTTTCAGGTGTTGGGTATGGTGTACTGACCATTGACCTTTATGTTTCAGGTGTTGGGTATGGTATGGTGATAATTTCTGGCATTGTGTGTGTGTACTACAACATCATCATTTCCTGGACCATTTACTACCTGTACCACTCCTTACGTGCCGTCTTGCCCTGGAGCATGTGTAACAACCCGTGGAATACAGATCTGTGTTATGTACGAACCGGCCTCAACGCCACATCTCCAGTCAACATCACAACAACGACACTGGCAGGCAATGTGGCTGTTGCTGTCCAGAACGTTACAAAGATGATGACAGCCAGCGAGGAATTTTGGGAGTAAGTGTTCAAGATGTTAGCCGTGATGTAGTATACGTACTTGTCCTTGATAATGCTCCAATTTATTGCGAATTAGTTCGACAGCACACTTTATGTTTCAAAATGTCCTGCCTGTACACGTTTGAGTAATTAATTCAGCATGTCCCTTTTTGTGTCTAACGCATAAATAATTACTTGTGCGATGCTTGAATTCACAACCAATGTACAAAAAAATTTGTGCGAAAAGAAACATTTTTTGCAAACAAAAATAATCTAAAAGTACTGTCATTTAAAAGATACAAAGTCACCAAAACAGCACTTCAGGAGAAATCCAAAAAACGCCTGTCAAAACTTTGTGCTGTGTGAAAGGCTATCTTTAATGGATCTTAAAGATGGTTTCTTACCTTAGAAAACATGGGATGCATTACATATGCAGTGATTATTTTTGGATCCTCCCTCGTGAATGTTTTAGTCTGATGATGGAGTAGTACGCAGTGTAAATTTATCAGTATTATCACGGAATAAGATCAATAAAAGTCTGTAGTATTATAACTTTAATTGAATTCAATTTTACCACTTTCAATCAGAATAACACATCTCCAGCAAGTTTGCCTTGTAATCCAATTTTCAAAGGTCAGATGTGCAATTTTGTGTTGTAAAAGCTCAAAGGTCAGAGTTCTTTGTTTTGAGTGCATATATGTAATATTTCAAACGTTGTGAGAATAATGTGTGTTTGTGTCACTTTTTGTCCTAGTGATCATCCCAGGGATAGTTTGTACTCATTAAATATGGTGGGACTTCAAGTATAATGAAATCGGTAACAGATTGTTTCCGAAGTACCAGTAATAGGTAGCATGTTATAGCTCATATCATGTCTTAGGTTTAAAGTTTTAGGTTGATATAAAGAATAGAGATATAGATAAAGTCTGTGGTTTGCTGTTTTTTGCAATACCATCAAATTACCATTGTCATGTTCATACATAAATGATGTCCTGGGCTGATATAGCATAGCAGTCGCTCTCAGATGGTAGACGGTACGTATACCTGATCGATATTCTAGATCACTCTCCGAAGGGTATTGATGAAATATTAATCCTAATTACTCTGCACTTAATTAATTAGCACCTTGGGTTAGATAAAAATGTAGTGGTTTTATATGTATAAAGGGACTGTAGGCCATCACAATCAATTTCAAGAAATTAACAGTATTTTTTTGTAGTGTATATGTACGATCAAACATTTATTTCCAACTTGTCATGACCAAAAAATGATATAAAAATGAAAAATAGAAATTTAAAATATCCAAATAAGGATATGGTTATTGTTTGTACTAATCACATGCCGACGAATTAACTCCATATCTGGTCAGAAGTACCAACAGAATATGAATCACTTGTGACTTCACAACATGTTGAAGATATTTAATGGTTTGCCTTTGAACACCATATATATATTTTGTGTATGGCAGAAAACTTGTGTGTATTGGTATGTGTGCATCACAAGTATCATATGTGATAGAACATGATTAAGGTTTTTGATTGCAAAGTCGTAATCAAATGGCCAGCATTGGAGTTATCGCCCTATATTTAGTTAGTTGAAAGTTCACATCTCATATATCAGATTATATTAATCAAGCAGAGAAATTTACACCTGTGGTTTGTACATTTCATACCCTAGTTCATCAGGTACGTAACAACCTATGTAGCAAAACAGCCCGGGCTTACTAATCATTTTTGACAAAAACAAAAAGACACAACATAGACCATATTATATGAAATATTAAAAACCAAAATATTTGTAAAGTAAAAGGGGAAAATGATATTTTCTTGCTTTCAAATGGTCATTGAAACTGACGCAAGAACACGGGAGAACACATCTCAGGTGTTCAAGAAAACAAAACTCTCCTGTGGGAGACCCCCTAGACCGCCACCGATGGGAGGGGAAACACCCACTCCCATACCCTCCCCCTCCTCGCGATGCGCGCTTCGGGCTGCTGCCTTCGGCAGCACATTTCATCATTGGGCTTACACATTAAAAACCCGTTTGTTACACTACACCCCTGTTCATTGAATCGTAATTCTAAGACCAAGTTTCTTGACTGCAGTATATTAATGATCTTATTTGAAGATATTAGACATATTTATTTTGTTGACTGGAAAGTCAACCTTCAAGTTTTGCCTATCTAAATAAGTAATGTGCAAATAACAGGGAATTCAAGGCTTCATAAATATTATTTACTGCATTCATGAGTCATATCTTGCTGGAATCTATGGTAATGGGAACATGCTGCTGAGATAAGTAAGACACATCTGGAAATTACATTAAGTGCCTTGTTATTCATTTTTCACTACCGTCTACACAGAAAGATTTAAAAGCAACTATTTACACAAATATCTTACAAGTTACGTTGTGTGAAACTCTTTCGAAAAACGAGATTACACACATGTACATGAGGTAACATATGTTATTAAATTCTGCATTTTATCAAAATCTCTAGGTTCTAGCCTACTACATAACAACCAGGTACTGTAATTTCTTGTGTATTGCCTGCACAACTCAAAATCATCCTGTTTGTAGGAAGTAAATATGTAGATTGCCCACTCAAGTAGAATACTCGCAAGGTATCTGCTATTATATATGCAATGAGTACCAGTCACTTCCAACGTCGTATACATGTAGGTCTAGATCTGGCCTCATCCTCGATGATTCAGTGGTTATTCTCACTTTCACTCTCTGCACCCCTGGAATATGTCGTAGCAAAGTTGAAGGCACGCAGCTACTTATTTGATTGGTCTCTGGTAAAAAAAAATCTAACGCTAGGCTGATACCCACCTTTGAAGATTACAGGGGAGCGACACCGGATTTAAAAGCCAGCTAATTTTACAGTTCGAACCGACAGATGTTCTTTATGTACATCAAATGATCAAACTAGTCTCTTGTCTCATCCGCAAGGTTGTTCACACTGAGCCTTCAATTTCGCATAGAGCGACAGTGAGGGTGGTCTGACCTGTACTTATCTGGACGTGTAGCAATGTCACTAATCAAATTCTTCAATTTAGACATTCCTGTTAATTTTTTGAAATGAATACACTCTTGATATACCAATAGTTCCATGCATTAATTGTTCTGATATAAACAGCCATGGCGACTCCTAGCTGGAACTGTACTCTATCAGGTACACCACATTTACAATACAGTACTGAAGTGCCAGTAATTTAATCAACTTTTCATGCATAGGTTTGATGATGAACCTTGAGATTTCTGTAATATTGTTGAGTTTTTTATTATCAATGAAGCTGCATACCATTTTGGTTTATGTGTCCCCTGCAATGCGAGGCAACAAATAGGTATTACTTTGTTGGCAGCGTCCGAAAAAAGGTTTCCGTGCGATAACTCGAGTTCTCTTGGGTTGATTGAACTCAAACTTGGTACACATATTTCATACCAATATAGCTCGAACAAGTTTGCTTTTCAGAAGGTTACGTGCATTTTTGTGGGAGTTATGCCCCTTTTATTGCCAAATAAGGGCATTGTGAAGTAATTAAATGCAAGAACTTTTTTATTTTTTAATCAATTCCTTTCAAATTTTGAACGGTAATGCTAGAAGTAATAATATTTAACATATATTACAGATTTTTCTGTCGAGTTTCAACTTTTTGCGTTTTGGCATATCTTTTTACGCGATAACTCAAGCCAAAACACTTTTCTTACTAAAAGCGCTGAGCAGGCGATACATCCACTCCCGTGGAACTCTTGTTCAAAAATATCACATAGCCCAAACCTTTTGGAAACATTTTGTCTCATAGTCTGCAAATAGGCCACGGAGGGCATTTTTAAGGGGGGAAAATAGCCTGCAGCAATACGACAGAAATTATGGATCTATAATTTGAAGCTCAACTAAAAATGTTGATGACATTCAATATCAAGTCAAACTCAATGAGAGAAAGTATTTGCAATCAGCAAGACTTTAAGCAATGATTCTTGTACAAATGTACTTGCATTGTAGTGATAATAGCACCAACATCATCACTTTACGATGAGCGATCGTGGTGATCAGTCCTAACTCATGATTGTAATTGTGTTTTTAGGAGACACGTGCTGCGGAGGACAAGTGGGATACATGATATGGGAGAACTACGATGGGACCTTTTCATCTGTCTCTTCATCGCCTGGGTGGTCATCTTCCTCTGTTTGTGTAAGGGGGTCAAGTCATCTGGAAAGGTATGCAAGGACAATTTTTGAAATTGGTACTCACACCAACTATCTTGTATCTTGGTAAATGATGAGAACGTGAAAATGGTATCCCACTTTAGTGTCGGCAAAGATCTTTCAAATCATTGAAAAAATTATCAAACATTTTCTGGTTAGTTGGACCATTTATATCCAATTATGCTTAGCAACACTTGGACCCATGTGTGCTGTACTTGAAGGTTTATATAGCTCTAGGCACCGATGACCGCTTTGTGTCATGCTTTTAGATAAAAGTATTTAAATGATTGTTCAGAAATTGAGGGCCTGCTAATAGTGATAGTCATTATAGATACGTGGTCAGTTGGAAGGGAATCACTATAGGCTGGTTGTGAGAACAAACAGCTGGTCAATATAGACAGCTAATTACTATAGGCTGCAGGTCACTATGAGCAGGTGATCATAATACACAACTGGTCACTATTGACAGGTGGTCATTTTAGACAGATGGTCTTGATTGGTCATTATTGACAGGAGTTCACTGATGAGAATCTGATAAGATTCTTGAATAATTTCTGTCTCTAAGTATTATACTGTCAGATATTTATTTTGTCCCTGACTCCTGCCTTATTATTAAAGAAACTTAGAAATGAAGAAACCAACTGATTGTTAACTGTACGATGTTAAAGACGTTTCACAGAACTCTCCTGTGTATTTTGTAGGTTGTGTATTTTACGGCCACGTTCCCTTACCTAGTGCTGCTGATTCTACTTGTCCGAGGCCTGACACTTCCAGGGGCTGGAAGTGGCATCAAGTTCTACCTCATCCCAGACTTCAACAAACTTAAAGACTTTCAGGTGAGATATTATTGGAATCAAGAATTAGACAAAAAAAAAATCATCATTTATCATTGGATTGATCAGAGTTAACGAGTATACTGTATTTCAGGTCATGGCTACCTGGGGAAGCCATCTTCAACATCAGTGGAAGTTTTTGCAACAAACTATATTTGAATAAGATTGTCTGGAGTTTTTTTCGGTATCCTCATGTGAATGATCAACATGCTGTTTTGCCGTTGTTAGGTTTGGGGAGATGCAGCCGTACAGATTTTCTACTCCATAGGACCAGCTTGGGGTGGTCTTATCACCATGGCGAGCTATAACAAGTTCCATAACAACTGTTACAGGTCAGTGCTAATGACATCTTGTAAAGTGTGATTAGGAAGTACTTCTGTAATCCATTGATTTCTTTTTTAAAACTGACTAGTTCTAAGGTCTCATTGTTCTGAGTTAAAACTTTCTACTTTACATGATTTGATCTGGATTGTTGTTTTTCTTGTTCCTATAGGGATGCAATGATTGTGCCGTTTATCAACTGTGGGACGAGTATATTTGCTGGACTGGTCATATTCTCCGTGCTGGGATTTATGGCACACGAAACAGGGGTGGACATTGCTAACGTTGTCACACATGGTACGTAATCCTATCTCACGATCTCTTGAATATTAAAATCCTGACAGGATTGTATCAATGGGCCTCCACATTCAATATTTGAAGAAATTTGTTTGGATTGTTTGCAAGCTTTGTAAGTCCAATATTTAAAGGTTGTTTGCTGTTTCAGTAAATGTCGACTTTTCACCTATTTACAGGCCCCGGACTGGCGTTTGTGGCATACCCGGAGGCAATGACAACACTGCCGATCTCCCCTCTGTGGGCCGTCCTGTTCTTCCTCATGTTGTTCACCGTTGGACTCGATACCCAGGTACTGTCGTACACCCGTCACTGATCTTTACCTAAATATCTATTTAGTGTCATTGCTACACTGTGTCCTCACTGCTATCAAACAGTACGATGCTTCAGCAAAATTCAATACAGAAACGATAAATCTCCCATAGTACTGAAGGCGAATGGCAATTTCAGCAGTTCATTTTTCAAGAAACTTTTAAAGTCACATAGCTATGACTTTATGGAAAGTCTAGTCAGAGCGCGGTCAGATTTTGACTTGAAGATAGTTGCAGGCTTCTATATGGGTTGTGTACAGCAACCTGTTTTGATAAAAACAGATATTGATGATGTAAGATTTCAGTAGATATTTTTAGTATACTTTTTTAGGTCACCTGAGCTTTGCTCAAATGACCTATTCCGATCACTTTCTGTCCGTCGTTGTCCGTCGTGCATAAACTTTTTACATTTTCAACTTCTTCTCAAGAACCAGTGGATGTAAAATTGGGATTCCTACCCCAACCCTAGGGGCCAGGGCGGGGTCCCAAAGAGAAGATTAACCAATATTTCAAAAATCTTCTCCTTCAGACTCAGAGGTACTACAGTGATTTTCTCTGCATGGATGGAAAGATCATCAGGGGCTTTATTTAAATTGGAAATTTCAGGACCCCCGAGCTATCTGTTCCCCCTTGGGGAGGGGGTTAAGTTTACTTTAGTTTATATAGGGAAATAACACTTTGGGGTATATTTTATCCATTTTCAGCAGAAAATTATTCAAACTTGGTCAGAATCATCTCTGGTGGATGAGGGTACTACATTGTAAAATTGGAATTCCTGCCCCATCCCCAGGGGCTAGGGCGGGCCCCACAGGGAACATTTACCAATATTTTAAAATTCTTATCCTTTGATGACATGACAAGTATTGTATTTCACTTAGTTTACATGCTGATTTCCACATCATATCTAAACAATAAGATAAAGCTACCAGTACCTATGGTATAACTCAGGTGACCGCTAAGGCCCTTGGGCCTCTTGTTTATTGAAGATATTGATAATTCCATTTTCCATTTTGAAATAATATTTCTGTTCTAATAATAAATTAGACTGTGCATTCGTGTCACCACAGCAGCAATGAAAACAGTATCTTTTGTTTTTAATACGAAAATTAAATAAGCCTCTATTTTATAATATAAAATGATTATAAGAGATCAGTTATAAACTACCATTAATAAAAATTGATTACACAAGAAATAACATTTATATAATCACTGAATGCTATAACTTTAGATAGATAGAGGCCACAGTGTAGTGTTTATAATGTTTGACACAGCTATGTTATGTGTGTCTTCATCCAAAATTTAAAGTTTTCTAATACTAATTTAGCACCGAGTCATAAACTATACTCCACGGTCGCATGCTGAAGACCTCCTCTATCTTCTAGTGTCATATCTATAAATTTGCTGATATTTCTAAACTTTAAACAGAACGCCAAATTTTTGACACTTCTAAAAATAATATGATTTTATGTCATACCGGAATTACCTCCCTTTTACCATATGAAGAAAATGGAAGTTTTTTTCTTACTGGGATTGCATTCATTTTCCCATTGATGTTCATCAGTGGGGAAAAAAAAGAGGTAGTTTAAGATTTCATACAGAAATTTCATTTTAAAAAATGAGGTTAATATATGTACAAAATAAGAATGATTTATTTCAAAAATAATCGTCTTGGTCATAGGTATAGCTTAGTACATGTGTAAGGGGAGGTAACTCTATTATCAGAAATTTCCAGAAGACAGGTGTTTTTTTCTTGAGATTACAAAAAGATTTTTGTTATTCTCCTTATGACTACATCCCTCCATCCCATCATGTAGTACTTATATATATTTTTTTTAAACTTTTAGCCACCTTGAAACAAAATATGCAGTAAAACTTTGATATAACATGCCACAAAATATACAGTAACACTTTTAATATAATGCCACAAAATATACAGTAAAACTCTGTTGATATAATGTCCCTCATATGCCAGCTCATTTTACACATTCATATCCAAAGGTCCCGTTTTCCTTTACTTTAACAGTTCCTTTTAACTTCATCTGTATATCATTAAACCTCTTTGATAATGTTAATTTTCCTTCAGTGGCTAAATAGTGGCAGTATAACAAGGTTTTACTGTATGTGCAAGTATGTGTCAAAAGTTTGTTTTAAACACAAAATCAAAAGGATGTATTAAGATGCAATATCCACTGTTGACATGGTGCTAGATACAATATTGTGACATGAGATCACTCTGCATACTAATGTTTAAATGTATTTCATAATCATAAGCTGTGGAGATTTGACAGAAGAAACTATTCATTTGCTACTCAGTACTTCTTCTTCTGTTTAATTTTCAAAACTTGGGTTTCTTAAATTAGGAAGAATGTGAATTGGAATTATTAAATATGTGAAAACATTAGTCAATTGATATGTAAGTGAAGTTGGAAATTAACATTAATTTAAAATTGGAAGCAGAATTTTTATTGTGTACAAATTATAATTTCACTTTTTACACTTAAAATTCAGATTGTTTAATTATCATATATGAAAGATGTATATGTTGAAATCCTATATGTCAGTTAATCGGCAACTATTATTTTCTTTTTTGTGTAAACAGCTTTGTAACGAGCCTATAAGGATACAGGGTCACAGGTAAAAAGAAAGTGTGTGTCAGTTTGAGAGCTTTCGGGAGATGTTGAATGCGTGTTCAAGATCTGTTCATATGTACCAACACACCAGGTGTATTTTGCTCATTTTTTTAAAGAAAATTAAGAAAGAATGATACCAATTCCTTAAATTGCATGCCATAATATAAGTAGTGTGCTTAAGTAGGCTTTTCAACTCTCTACACCAAAGAAAATTAGAAATACCCCTGTTACGTGTCAAAAAATATGTGTGTGGAGGGGGGGCTTTTTGCTTTGAGCTAAATCTGGTTTTGATAATGTTCTGTGTCAAATTTTTAATTGATTTTTGAAAACGAAATGAAATATTGATTTTAAGTATTTGTTAATTTGGATAATTGAGGTAAAGTTAAGAGAACTGTATAGCTGTACCTAGATGTTTGGTAACCTCTCCCATTTTGTGTCTTACCTTACCAGCTTTGGATGATGACTGTTCCCCCTGAAGACTTTTCTCGTCAAGAACCACTCTAAGTCGCTCCAACCAACCGACTGTGTCTTGGTTTGCTGTACCGTATGATAAATAGAATATCTCAATTCTTATCAATCCAAACAATCATTGCATACTTATAACAGGTACCTTCTATTATGTCGCTTTTTCAAGCAATGGTTTTCATTTTCATGTTTCTCTGGGGACAGCATTCTATACTGCTAAGAGATTTGTATGAATTTTTTTTTTTTTAAATATTTAATTAATATTAGAATGTATCACTTTGGACAAATATGGATTAACAGAAATGTCTCTAGTAAAAAGACCTTTGTTCTGCTTTGATTTCTTATATTTATCAGATATATGTTTTGAAAATGGATCAAAATAAATTTTACAATGAAAGAAGAGAAAAAGATTAAAGATTGAAATAAAAGTTTAAAAAAAATTGTAATTTTCAAAGAAAATGAAAATCGAAAATATAATTATCCAAAATTTGTCCCGAAGTCAACAAATTGGACGATATTTCTAATTTTAAAATTTTAACAATTATGTGAGCACATTTTGTCAGGAAATAACATACAAATGCATATGATACACAGTCACCACTGTAGGGAGACCCAAAAGTTAGTTCCATCTGGCCAAATAAATTGATCCAAAACACCAAAGACAAAGACAAACAAAACTTGCTGAATGGATAGATTATTGAATCCAAATTGTTCATTCCAATTTTATATCAAGATCCAATTCTGAATGTGATATTTACTTGGCCAGAATAAATCTGTTTTATAAGAAATACAGACTGAATCACCATTGTAAAAGGACCATGTTCTAAATATGTGTAATTTCTCTTTAAAAATCCAGCAGAACCATTGTACGTCTTTTCATTGACGAAACACCTTTATTGGCTCAATAATGTTATCTTAAACAGTGCCTTTTAACTTCATTCCTGGAGAACACATTTGGCTGGTCCAACAAAACTGGAAGTGAATGTCATATGTGCAAAGCTCTTGGATGAATATTTTACACATATAATAAGTTCCTTAGCATCAATCATATGTACAATCAAAACTTATTCTAAAGATACCAAGCACTTCTTGTATAGTGCTACATACTTTGTCAATTGGATTAAAAAAAAATGTTTGAGACGTACAATAATTTTAAGAAATTTTCATTTATGTTTTTTGGCGTTCGCGAAAATAAATAAAACTTACCATTATTCAAATATCAGTAAAATATGTTTTTATATCTATGAAAAAAACAGTTATTGACTATCTAAGAGGTGAAAAAGTGCTTTGAACCTTGCCAATATAGATACTACCTCGGTGTGCTACAGGTTCTATCTAAATGGTCTCCGTTCTGAATTCCTCTCCCCCTCGGTGAAATATTTGCTGCTAGTAGCTATGAAAGTGTCAGTTACTTGGAACATGGACCTTCCCAGTGATCTGTTCTTCTTAATTATATTTTATGTTCACCAGGAAATCTCAGCTTATTTCAATTCATTTGAGACAATGAAGAGAAATGAAGTTCATTTTCAAGTGGCTTTTCAGAATCCTAATATACGGGCCTCGGGTGACTTTTCTATGTGTCTGTATCAACAGCCTCCCTGGCTGAACTGGTCCATATTTGATCTTTCGTGATTATTGGCGACAAAATTGGAGTTAATTTCTCTTGTTATCTATAATTGATGAGAGTTTAACATTTGCCATAAGAAGCACTTTCATCAACTATTGATATGTTTTTGGAAAAAAATACATTAATTTAGAATGATTCTTTAAAAAAATAAGTGACTGTGATTAAAAAGAATGCTGTTGTTTGGAGAAATTGTGAAAATTATCAACATATATCCGTATATATGTTAATGAATTACATCTTTAATTTCTTCATTAAGTATCATCTTTATTAATACTTCCCAATAATATCATTTTTCTCTATCGATTACTTCCAATTAGTTTTCTTTATAAACTTTTCATATACTGTTAGATAAGTTTGATTCATGCTTACCATTGCTTGAAAAGTTGGATATTTTTTTCAAACTGGAAGAGAAAACACAGAGTGATTTTTAAATATAGGAAATCTTAAATTGAAAATATAGATCAAAGAAAAAATGCTTGAGTTTAAAAAGAATTACAGTGAGCAAAACAAAAATGCTTTTAAAAAGTTGAAGAGATATTCAGATAAATTTATCAAATGAAATAAATTTAATATTTATTTCAACAAAAATTATTACAGCCAAGAAGAAACACTTGTATTAAGAACTAATAAGTGATTTATATGGAATATTGGGGATTAAATTTTCTCTTCCTTTTGTAAAATTTTTTGACATATTGGAATGTTAATAATGTATGAAGGTAAATAATCTATAAACTCTTTATAGCTGAGGCTACATGACTTCAAGGTTCAACACTACTGTCGTTGGTTCAAATGTGTCTCGGCGCCCTTTTACACTGTCCTCTATGTTGTAGTTTGGGATGGTTGAAACCATTACAAGTGCTTTTGTGGACGAGTTTCCGGATCTTCTAGCCAACAGGAAGGTGCTGTTTACAGCCATCATGTGTTTTATTGAATTCCTTTTGGGTGTCCCGTGTGTGATGCAGGTGAGATATAAATGTAGAATTAAGACCCTCTGCACACTAACATTCGGCTAACAAGGGTGATTAATATCATATACATTGTAAGTAGAAATAATTTGTTTCATAATTGTTGCAAAATGAATAAAGTTTATATAAATGTTGTGAAAGTGGTCAACTAAAAGATCTGAGCTTTGTGTTACCAAAGAAGAAGACTTTTTCTCTGCTTATTATTCCCTCGCAAAGAAAGTTATACAAAAATGACTATTTTGCATGAGAGTTGGGGTATTCATGTCTTACGGATATTTTCTAGTTAAATACGAAATACAAGATATTTGTGTGTATTATATGAGGAAGATCTTTTTGAATTACAGGACATCTGTATTTTGTTTTCATTTGATATAAAGATGCAAATCTTGAATTTAGAATTTATGTTAATATATCATAAAACTAATTAACAGCAAGTTTATGCATGTAAATCAAACAGGTTAATGTTTGTTAGAGGCACAGTAGCCTAGTGGTAGGACGCCGGGCTCGTGAACGAAGGGTTGCGGGGTCGAGTCATGGCACGGCATTGTGTTGCATCTTTGAGCAAGTTACTTTACTCCGCTTGTTCCAGTCTACTCAGCTGTAAATGAGTGTGTGGTTGGGCAGTGCTACAATTGTTGAATGCTAGTTGTGAGCGCCGAAATGGCAGCACCGGCTGTATGCTCCCCAGGGAGTTGAGAAAGATGTTGGCTGGTTACAAAGGCCCTATAACCACGGATAATAGTTTGTGAATGCTTGGAGACGACCTACAATCTAGGTTTTGATAAAACGGTATATAAGAACCTTGAATTATCATCATTATTTGTTTTGTAGGGAGGTGTGTACATCCTTCAGATCATGGACTGGTACTGCGCCACATTTTCCCTCATGCTCCTCTGTCTCGCTGAATGTATTGCCATTGCTTGGATTTATGGTAAGATTCCTACCCTCCCAAAATGTTGGAAAATTACTTTCTGTAGAATCAGTTGCGGTAAGTTTGAGTTTAATTGGGACAAAGTACAAGAAAACGGAGTGTTGAATTGTGTTGAAATAAATGACCTTGTCCAACATTCTAGGTAACAGTGTCAAATGTGTTCAAATCTTCAAACAACTTCTATAGGTCTTTATTTAAGTAGTGATTTTTGACTTTTAGCTTGCTAGGATATCAAGCTATCAAGTGAGTTCAATGAAATAAGCTTTACCCACTTTGAATGTCACATGAAGTAAAATGAGGTCTTCCTGCCAACTTTAAAAAAAATACTTCCATGGGGGAGACAGCCCGTGTTCAGAATTAAACACTTCCATGGGGGAGACAGCGCATGTTCAGAATTAAACACTTCCATGGGGGAGACAGAGCGGGTTCAGAATTAAACACTTCCATGGGGGAGACAGCACATGTTCAGAATTAAACACTTCCGTGGGGGAGACAGCGCATGTTCAGAATTAAACACTTCCATGGGGGAGACGGCGTATGTTCAGAATTAAACACTTCCATGGGGGAGACGGCGCGTGTTCAAAATTAAACACTTCCATGGGGGAGACAGCGCGAGTTCAGAATTAAACACTTCCATGGGGGAGACGGCGCGTGTTCAGAATTAAACACTTCCATGGGGGAGACAGCGCTTGTTCACAATTAAACACTTCCATGGGGGAGACAGCGCGTGTTCACAATTATACACTTCCATGGGGGAGACAGCGCATGTTCAGAATTAAACACTTCCATGGGGGAGACAGCGCATGTTAAGAATTAAACACTTCTATGGGGGAGACAGCGCATGTTCAGAATTAAACACTTCCATGGGGGAGACAGCACATGTTCAGAATTAAACACTTCCATGGAGGAGACAGCACATGTTCAGAATTAAACACTTCCATGGAGGAGACAGCACATGTTCAGAATTAAACACTTCCGTGGGGGAGACAGCGCATGTTCAGAATTAAACACTTCCATGGGGGAGACAGCGCATGTTAAGAATTAAACACTTCTCTGGGGGAGACAGCGCATGTTCAGAATTAAACACTTCGATGGGGGAGACAGCGCGTGTTCACAATTAAACACTTCCATAGGGGAGACAGCGCGTGTTCACAATTAAACACTTCCATGGGGGAGACAGCGCGTGTTCCCAATTAAACACTTCCATGGGGGAGACAGCGCATGTTAAGAATTAAACACTTCTCTGGGGGAGACAGCGCATGTTCAGAATTAAACACTTCGATGGGGGAGACAGCGCGTGTTCACAATTAAACACTTCCATAGGGGAGACAGCGCGTGTTCACAATTAAACACTTCCATAGGGGAGACAGCGCGTGTTCACAATTAAACACTTCCATAGGGGAGACAGCGCGTGTTCACAATTAAACACTTCCATGGGGGAGACGGCGCGTGTGCAGAATTAAACACTTCCATGGGGGAGACAGCGCGTGTTCCCAATTAAACACTTCCATGGGGGAGACAGCGCATGTTAAGAATTAAACACTTCTATGGGGGAGACAGTGCATGTTCAGAATTAAACACTTCGATGGGGGAGACAGCGCGTGTTCAGAATTAAACACATCCATGGGGGAGACAGCGCATGTTCAGAATTAAACACTTCGATGGGGGAGACAGCGCATGTTCAGCATTAAACACTTCCATGGGGGAGACAGCGCGTGTTCACAATTAACACTTCCATGGGGGAGACGGCGCGTGTTCAGAATTAAAAACTCCCATGGGGGAGACAGCGCGTGTTCAGAATTAAAAACTTCCATGGGGGAGACGGCGCGTGTTCAGAATTAAACACTTCCATGGGGGAGACAGCACATGTTCAGAATTAAACACTTCCATGGAGGAGACAGCACATGTTCAGAATTAAACACTTCCGTGGGGGAGACAGCGCATGTTCAGAATTAAACACTTCGATGGGGGAGACAGCGCGTGTTCACAATTAAACACTTCCATAGGGGAGACAGCGCGTGTTCACAATTAAACACTTCCATAGGGGAGACAGCGCGTGTTCACAATTAAACACTTCCATAGGGGAGACAGCGCGTGTTCACAATTAAACACTTCCATGGGGGAGACAGCGCATGTTAAGAATTAAACACTTCTATGGGGGAGACAGTGCATGTTCAGAATTAAACACTTCGATGGGGGAGACAGCGCATGTTCAGCATTAAACACTTCCATGGGGGAGACAGCGCGTGTTCACAATTAACACTTCCATGGGGGAGACGGCGCGTGTTCAGAATTAAAAACTTCCATGGGGGAGACGGCGCGTGTTCAGAATTAAAAACTCCCATTGGGGAGACAGCGCGTGTTCAGAATTAAAAACTTCCATGGGGGAGACGGCGCGTGTTCAGAATTAAAAACTTCCATGGGGGAGACGGCGCGTGTTCAGAATTAAAAACTCCCATGGGGGAGACAGCGCGTGTTCAGAATTAAAAACTTCCATGGGGGAGACGGCGCGTGTTCAGAATTAAACACTTCCATGGGGGAGACGGCACGTGTTCAGAATAAAAAACATAGATAAAGTGTACGCTTGTACATCCTAGGATGAGCTGTTCTTTTAGATGAAATCATCAGATTTTAGTAAATTGGAATAGTTTAGGAAATTCATTGGTTGTAAATGCTCAATTTCAGGGTCCAAAATCTGGAGTCTCCCTCCAAAATAGGGAGAGTTGGCTAGTCAATGCATAATGTGTAGAGTAATAGTACTTGGCTTGAAGTGTGTTGTGTCAGATTGCTTGCTATCACATTTTTAGGTCACCTGAGCTTTGCTCAAGTGACCTATTCCAATCACTTTTCGTCCGTCGTGCATCGTGCGTAAACTTTTACATTATCAACTTCTTCTCAAGAACCAGTGGATGGAATTTTTTCAAACTTGGTCAGAATCATCCTTGGTATATGAGGCTACCAAATTGTAAAATTGGGATTCCTACCCCAACCCTAGGGGCCAGGGCGGGGCCCAAAAGGGAAAATTAACCAATATTTCAAAAATCTTCTTCTCCAGACTCAGAGGTATTACAGTCATTTTCTCTGCATGGATGGAAAGATCATCAGGGGCTTTATTTAAATTGTAAATTTCAGGACCCCCGAGCTATCCGTTCTCCCTTGGGGAGGGGGTAAAGTTTACTATAGTTTATATAGGGAAACAACACTTTTGGGTATATTTTGACAATTTTCTGTTGGAAATTATTTTTACTTGGTCAGAATCATCCTTGGAGGAGGAAGATGGTTTTAAATTGTAAAATTGGGATTCCTACCCCAACCCTAGGGGCCAGGGCGGGGCCCAAAAGGGAAAATTAACCAATATTTCAAAAATCTTCTTCTCCAGACTCAGAGGTATTACAGTCATTTTCTCTGCATGGATGGAAAGATCATCAGGGGCTTTATTTAAATTGTAAATTTCAGGACCCCCGAGCTATCCGTTCTCCCTTGGGGAGGGGGTAAAGTTTACTATAGTTTATATAGGGAAACAACACTTTTGGGTATATTTTGACAATTTTCTGTTGGAAATTATTTTTACTTGGTCAGAATCATCCTTGGAGGAGGAAGATGGTTTTAAATTGTAAAATTGGGATTCCTACCCCAACCCTAGGGGCCAGGGCGGGGCCCAAAAGGGAAAATTAACCAATATTTCAAAAATCTTCTTCTCCAGACTCAGAGGTATTACAGTCATTTTCTCTGCATGGATGGAAAGATCATCAGGGGCTTTATTTAAATTGTAAATTTCAGGACCCCCGAGCTATCCGTTCTCCCTTGGGGAGGGGGTAAAGTTTACTATAGTTTATATAGGGAAATAACACTTTTGGGTATATATTTTATCCATTTTCAGCAGAAAATTACTCAAACTTAGTCAGAATCATCTTTGGTGAATGAGAGTATTACTTTGGAAAATTGGGATTCCTGCCCCATCCCCAGGGGCTAGGGCGGGGCCCCAAAGTGAACACCCCAAAACTATATATTCAAATGCTAGGCATAAAGAGACAAATGCAGTCGTGATATTAGAATAGACCCTGGGGGTCTGACCAAACCCGTAGGGACCTAGTTTCTTATTCACAGCTTGGAAACAGTTGAGATCCCCACCCTATAACCGTATATACAATTGCTGAGTAAAAAAAGATGAATGCACATATACTTCCAGGATGGCCTTGGGGTCTGCCCCTCCCTTGGAGACTTAACTCCTGGGTCATAACTTCGAAATGATTAAGATTCCCACCCCAAAACTATATATACAATTGTTGGGCATAAAGAAACGAATGCAGTCATGATATTAGAATTGACCCCAGTGTCGGCCACACCCTTGCAGACTTAACCCCTGGGTCATAACTTTGAAACAGTTGGGATCCCCACCCCAAAACTATATATAAAAATGATGGGCAAAAAGAGACAAATGCAGTCATGATATTGATCCTGGGGTCTGGCCACAACGCTAGGGACCTAGTTTCTGAGTCATAGCTTGGAAACAGTTGAGATCCCCACCCCATAACCATACATAACATTACTGGGCATGAAAAATCTGATACAGATATGCTACAAGGATTGTCCTCGAGGTCTGGCATATTCCCTTGGATCTCATTTGGAGAATATTTTGCCATGATTGCTTAGATATCCAGGTGATCGATACAGGCCCTTTGGGCCTCTTGTTTAAAATACATTTTTAATTGACTCATCTCAAAAGTCACAGATTTGAGATTTTAAATATGTTTACCAACATTTAATAACAGCTGAGCAATACAAGCCCATTGGGCCTTTTGTTTAAAATCATTGAATATTCATAATGTTTTAAATACATACTCAAGTGTAGTTGGCACCTATGCTATTAGAGTTTTAGTGTAAAGCTAGCCCATGTACGTGTATTTGATACGTAATGTTTGATGTTGACAGGAGTGGACCGATTCTACAAGGATCTGGAGCTGATGATCGGTTACCAGCCCAGCGTTTGGTGGAAAATCTGCTGGTGTTTTATCTCGCCTACAATGATCACGGTAAACACACTAGTGAACCTAATCATTTAATTTCAAGTGGGTTTGGGTCAAAAAATTATATATGTTATCTTTTTAAGTTTGAAAAAATATTATAAGGGTTCTGATCAAAGATGCTGATATCCTATATATCATGGTGGACAAACACCATTCCGTCCTCACTACGCTTTCCCCAAGGTATCTTGCTGAAATATCATTCAATTTTAATGAAGCCTGGTAAGCATATACAGAAATTACTAAGGTTAACTTTAGTGCTGAAGAGAAATCTGTGTATAGTTAATTAGCATTTTGTGCTCTCTATATAGTAGATATGTAGATTTATCTTCTCGTGTTTCAATATTTTCATACAGTCTATAAAAAGGGTTCATGCTACTTTTTTATACTGTCATTCAAGTCTGGTATCTAAATGGCACCATCACTAAATCTATATGTAGCATTTGTAATCATCAAATTGTGAAATCATGGTGGAAACCTAAAATTTCCTTTCTGTTTTATACGCCCGTCAAATTTGACGGGAGTATTATGGTATGGCGTCGTCCGTCCGTTGTTAACTTTTGTTTGTCCGGCAATCTCCTCCTACATTTTTCGACTCATCTCTTTGAAACTTGGTTTACATTATAATCATGATATGAAGTTGTGTATCCCTTAAAAGAATTTTGATTCGACTATTTTTCCGAAAGTTATTGCCCTTTGTTCATTTCAGTATTTGATTTTGTTGTCCGGCAATCTCCTCCTACATTTTTCAACAGATCTCTTTGAAACTTGGTATACATTATAATCATGACATGAGGTTGTGTCTCCCTTAAAAGAATTTTGATTTGACGATTTTTGCAAAAGTAATTGCCGTTTGTTCATTTCAGTATTTGTGTTTTGTCCGGAGATTTTCTCCTACATATTTAGCTCACCTGGTCCGAACGACCAAGGTGAGCTTATAAGCATTCATAGGAGGCAGGGATTCAAAATTGTACAAATAGTGAGGCTGAGGATTATTTGCCTTTATTGCTTTAAGCGACTTTTTCTCTGGAGCTAAGAGATGGATTTCAACCATATTTGACTGGAAGCATCCTTGAGGTGGTGGTGATTCAAAATTGTACAAATGGTGGGGCTAAGACTAAGCAGTGCGGTCAAAAAAAGTGTATTACTTGGTTGAGATCCCCACTGTATAACAATATATACAATTGCTGAGTATCAAGAGAAGACTGCACATTTGCTTCCAGGATGGCTCTAGGGTCTAGCTCCACATTTGGAGACATAATCCCTGGGTCATAACTTTAAAACGGTTGAGATCCCCACCCCAAAACTATGTATACAAATGCTGAGCATAAAGAGACAAATGCAATCATGATATTAGAATAGACCCTGGGGTCTGACTGAACCCCTACGGACCTAGTTTCTTAGTCACAGCTTGTAAACAGTTGAGATCCCCACCCTATAACCATATATACAATTGCTGAGTATAAAGAGATGAATGCACATTTGCTTCCAGGATGGCCCTAGGGTCTGGCCCCACCCTTGGAGACATCGTCCCTGGGCCATACCTTCGAAATGGTTTAGATCCCCACCCCAACACTATATATACAATTGTTGGGCATAAAGAGACGATTGCAGTCATGATAGTAGAATTGACCCCAGGGTCTGCCCCACCCTTGCAGATTTAACCCCTGGATCATAACTTAGAAACGATTGAGATCCCCACCGGAAAACTATAAATACAAATGATGGGCAAAAAGAGACGAATGCAGTCATGATATTAGAATTGATCCTGGGGTCTGGTCACAACCCTAGGGACCTAGTTTCTGAGTCACAGCTTGGAAACAGTTGAGATCCCCCACCCCATAACCATGCATAAAATTGCTGGGCATGAAAAATTTAATACAGATATGCTACATATTCCCTTGGATCTCATTTGGAGAATATTTTGCCTTGATTGCTTAGATATCCAGCTGGTGAGCAATACAGGCCATCTGGGCCTCTTGTTTATAGCATGTCAGCTAACCACTCTTAGAATGATGCAGGTCTTATTTCAATGTAAGAAAGTATATACAGTAACACTTTATGGCTTTCGATGGGCGTATATTGTTCCGCCCCGCGGTACTCTTGTTTTTGTTTGTGACAAAACGTATTATAACTGTAAATTTTACATCATAGGAGTTATCTCTTGTCATCCCCATGTAACTTCAGTAGATTCTGCCATGGATTGATCTTGATGAGTCAATTACGGTCTTCAGTGTTGAAAGGGTTAAAAAGAATCTCTGACCTGTTCCTATTATTTTTGACTCCCTGAAGCTTGTTTCATAAAAATACTGCATTGGTGTTGTAAATCCCCTATTTTAATTACCTTGGAGGACTGATATTTTTTGTGTTGTTTTGACAGTTTGTATGGTTATTCAGCGTTTTGAACTTTATAGACTGATATTTTTTCTGTTGTTTTGACAGTTTATATGGTTATTCAGCGTGTTGAACTTCAGTGCTGTGACGTACGGTGACTATGAGTACCCTGACTGGGGTATAGCCCTCGGCTGGATGTTCGGCCTTGCTTCCCTAGTACCCATTCCCCTGTGTGCTATCATCTCCATATTGAAGGAACAGGGGCCTATCACCTCGGTATGTATCATAAAACTACTCCATACTAATCTGTTTTCCGTATAAAACATGGAATTATGTCTGTTTTCAGCTTTGAATTCACCTTATTTTCTAAATTTAATAAGACATCAGTTATATGTATGAAGATAAGGTTTCATTCTAGTTGTTACAATGCTAGTTTGTTTTGGTCAGAAAAGGATTGTGTAGTTTTGTTTATTTATACAATGGAGCCTTGCTGTTTAGCTGCCTTGAGAAAAATGCAGAAATTTTCCATAAAGCAATTTCTGGATATCAGGGTAACCAGACTGATGGTAGCTTGATAGTGTGACAACATTATTTGTAGTTAATGGATATTGTAACAACCGTATTTGTTATGACTGGACATTGGGACAACCGTATTTGTTATGACTGGATATTGTAACAACCGTATTTGTTATGACTGGATATTGGGACAACCTGATTTTTGTAGACTGGATAAGGGGGCAATGACTGGCGTTGACTCATTAGTGGGACAACCTGTCTGGTGGTGATTGACTGGGTAGTGGGACAACCTGCCTGGCGGTGACTCATTAGTGGGAAAACCTGTCTGGTGGTGATTGACTGGGTAGTTGGACAACCTGCCTGGCGGTGACTCATTAGTGGGACAACCTGTCTGGTTGTGATTGTCTGGGTAGTTGGACAACCTGCCTGGCGGTGACTCATTAGTGGGACAACCTATCTGATGGTGACTGACTGGGTAGTGGGACAACCTGTCTGGCGGTGACTCATTAGTGGGACAACCTGTCTGATGGTGACTGACTGGGTAGTGGGACAACCTGTCTGGTGGTGACTGACTGGGTAGTGGGACAGCCTGTCTTGTGGTGATTGACTGGGTAGTGGGACAACCTGTCTGGTGGTGACTGACTGAGTAGTGGGACAACCTGTCTGGTGGTGACTGACTGGCTAGTGGGACAACCTGTCTGGTGGTGACTGACAGGTTAGTGGGACAACCTGTCTGGTGGTGACTGACTGAGTAGTGGGACAACCTGTCTGGTGGTGATTGACTGGGTAGTTGGACAACCTGCCTGGCGGTGACTCATTAGTGGGACACCCTGTCTGGTGGTGCTTGACTGGGTAGTTGGACAACCTGCCTGGCGGTGACTCATTAGTGGGACACCCTGTCTGGTGGTGCTTGACTGGGTAGTTGGACAACCTGCCTGGCGGTGACTCATTAGTGGGACACCCTGTCTGGTGGTGCTTGACTGGGTAGTTGGACAACCTGCCTGGCGGTGACTCATTAGTGGGACACCCTGTCTGGTGGTGCTTGACTGGGTAGTTGGACAACCTGCCTGGCGGTGACTCATTAGTGGGACACCCTGTCTGGTGGTGCTTGACTGGGTAGTTGGACAACCTGCCTGGCGGTGACTCATTAGTGGGACAACCTATCTGATGGTGACTGACTGGGTAGTTGGACAACCTGTCTGGTGGTGAGTGACTGGTTAGTGGGACAACCTGTCTGGTGGTGACTGACTGAGTAGTGGGACAACCTGTCTGGTGGTGACTGACTGGGGAGTGGGACAACCTGTCTGGTGGTGACTGACAGGGTAGTGGGGCAACCTGTCTGGTGGTGACTGACTGGGTAGTGGGACAACCTGTCTGATGGTGACTGACTGGGTAGTGGGATAACCTGTCTGGTGGTGACTGACTGGGTAGTGGGACAACCTGTCTGGTGGTGACTGACTGGGTCGTGGGACAACCTGTCTGGTGTTGACTGACGGGGTAGTGGGACAACCTGTCTGGGGTTGACTGACAGGGTAGTGGGACATCCTGTCTGGTGGTGACTGACTGGGTCGTGGGACAACCTGTCTGGTGTTGACTGACGGGGTAGTGGGACAACCTGTCTGGTGGTGACTGACAGGGTAGTGGGACAACCTGTCAGGGCTCTATTGTATACAATGAGTTTTTAGATTTATTCATACAGCTTGATTTTCCTCACATAACATAGTATTGACATGTTATTTTGCTGGTTTTACAGAGAATACATAAGCTTTGTCAGCCCACTGAAGACTTCGGACCTGCTGTACCGGAATATCGGGAGAAATATTTAGCCTCACTAGATACCAGGCATTCCTACTTACCAACGCTCCGCAACAGACGTCCACCGTCCAAACTCTCTATGACAGAACTTCAGACATCACCGGAGTCACAGATCTTCATCACATCATCTTGATAATAACATGTTTTGTCTCGCAAACACACGTCGTCATCGTTGTATAAGATGTTTGGTTACATTCTCCATTTAGTTATTATATAACTACATTGTCAGCTAATGCCTGGACCATTTCCTGACCTAAAATTTATTATTAAGAATGCTTTAGAATGAATGCAAGTCTCCTAGGTTTATTTAACTCATTCGTGCACGCCTGAAGACACATTTGAACCCTTCCAATTCAAAGGTTGGAATAGTTCATTGTGAAACTTCAGAGGAGAATGAGTTAAAGATGTTGTCATCATAGTGAAATGTTAACATGGACATATATCAATGCGTTTTTTTATTATTAGTACCTATGGTAAACTTAACCTGTTTCATGTAATTATTGATAACAAATACTAAAATTACTTAACTGAAAAATAATGAACTGCAATTAATCCAATTGCAAATCTCCCCTATATTTGTAATCGGAAAATAATTATTAAAAATGAAATAGCAAAAGAGTTCAGTTTGAAGCAGGAAATGTTTGTTTCCCTCTCTTGTCATGTAACATAGGATCAAACACGTTAACATTTATTATGATAGTTATAGGAAATAGTCTGTTATTGGAGGATATAATCATCTGTGATATCGACAAAAACATTAAAACGCAATGATTGGTATATAAAATTACACTTGTAAAGATTTGATCTTAATAACAGAACCAAGGGTCGTAGATGTAAAAATGATGTACCAATCGACAGAACCAAGGGTCGTAGATGTAAAGATTATGTACCAAACGACAGAACAAAGGGTCGTTAATGTTAAAATAATGTACCAAACGACAGAACCAAGGGTCGTAGATGTTAAAATTATGTACCAAACGACAGAAACAAGGGTCGTAGATGTAAAAATTATGTACCAAACGACAGAACCAAGGGTCGTAGATGTTAAAATTATGTACCAAACGACAGAACAAAGGGTCGTAGATGTAAAAACTATGTACCAAACGACAGAACCAAGGGTCGTAGATGTAAAAACTATGTACCAAACGACAGAACCAAGGGTCGTAGATGTAAAAATTATGTACCAATCGACAGAACAAAGGGTCGTAGATGTAAAAATTATTAAAACAACAGAACTAAGGGTTTATTCACCAATGCAAAGTCCTGACAATTGTTATTTCTACAGAGAGTCTAGAATCATTATTTTTGTATATGGTTGTGATCATGGTTCATTGTTAGTTTATTTATACAGCATTTTGATATTTTGTCATGAAACAATTACTTTCCATATTGTTTACATCTATATACCCACTGTGTGTAACCATTGATACTTGTCAAGTTGTTTTATTTAAAATAGTTTGTAGATCTTAAGTGATAAACATCCACCATACTTAGTCTTGTATCATTCGAAGTGAAGCATGTTTTGTTTTTGTTTCGGAAAGTCATCTATCATTTACCTTTACAGCAAGATGGGTGCTAATTATGTAATTATAACATTTCAGACCTTAACTTACATAGAATTGCAGGTCAATGACTCGTTAGATTTAACAACAGTTTAATTCATATACCCCTGGAATTTCATAATGAACTATTATTTCAATCTTTGAAATGGAGGAGTTCAAAGGGGTCTTCAGGGGGTGAATGGGTTAATGATAAATGCTAATTTTGAACAACCGGGCCCTGTTGTCCTTCAGGATCATGTATCGCATGACATTGTTAATAGCCTATCACATGACATCGCTAAGAACATGTCACATGATCACGTTTCACATGACATTGGTAAGAACGTAAAAGATGTCCTGCAGAACGACAACAGAAAGTAAATTAAATTGTCCTTTTTCAAAATTCATTCACATTGAATATAAGTGAATCGCAATTCCACATGTCAAACATCACAACTTTGTTTGAGGGTCGTTCATATACATAAAATAAATGTACATTACGAAATTAGTTTTAAATTACTGTAAAATTATTATAAATTCAAATTTTGAATATCCTTTGGTAGAGGTAGGCCAAGCTTCAGGAAAATGAATTGGTGGGATTATATTATACATTTAAGCTGGTCCTAGTTCACCACTACTTCTGATATCAATATGTCATAGATGTAAGTAGTGTGTACTTTGTTCGCTTAATTTGTTTTCCTGGATTTTTATTATTATACGAAACATTTTGTGATAACTTTGAATGATTTGTGTATGATCATTGTATCTGTATGATATTGGATGTTACGTACTCGAACAAACTTAAACTAGTGTTGATATTATATATTATTTGGATTAAATGACAAAAATACTTGGGGACCACACAGGCTCCTTGTTAACAATTCTTTCCTTTCCCTCCCAGGTGTTCGCCGATAACATCTAGACCGTATATTACCGGGTCGTAGTGATTAGTTTATGATGCCGTTAAATTTTAGAAGACCATTTACTTGATCGATACACTCTCTTCGTATTTTTGTTCAATTATTTCTGATAACCCTAGTCCTACATTTCAGAATGTTTCACAGTATTTACATATGTTTTATACATATATATATATCTCATATTGAGATTGACATTTTATTATTGAACAGTTTTTAATTAAGTGCTTGCCGTTTTATAATAGTTAAGTTTGTCAGGCAATTCATGTTAAAGAGGGAAGAGGAGCAACGAGGGAATGTTTTGGAGGGGGAGGATATTTAAAGTAACAAGATTCTTGGGAATTATCATGTTATCGTGAAATTCTGCTATCATTTTATCTTTTGAATGCTTGCGAAGTGAAATATAAATAACTAGGCCTGATATCAAGGTAAATGCCTGATATCAAGGTGATATCAAGGTAAATGCCTGATATTAAGGTAAATCTAATTTAAATGCAGCCTCATTGCTACACACTGTATACCAGTACTTAAATGAAGATCTACCTACAGTGACAGTGCCCAGCAAAACTAGTCCACGAAACATTAATTTGACAATGCATTTTAGGCACTGCATGCTACTTCCAGAGAAGACGCCGGTTTATGTTTGGAGTTGAAATTTGGTAACAACATTTTGTCGTTAAAATACAAAGGTTACATTTAAGAATAATCAGATATTAATCCATCATTACTCAATTTACCAGACCTGCTGAATTATGAACTTTTGTGAACGTTCTAAACAATCGTATTTAGATTAATTTAAATTGTTAAAGGATTTTAACTGTACATATGGTCAGAGATAGTGAGGAGTAGTCATTGTAGAAAGGGAGTGTGTGAAGTACATGTAGTTAGTATCCGAATATTGTTGGCACGTTGCTTCACAGTTGTGTTATCTGTGTTTAAATGACTGTATTTTGTGATCTTTTTGAGGTATCTGATATAGGATACATCAGCTGCACATTTCAGATGGCTGACCTATAAATAGATTAAAATGGATTTTCTTTTTGTAAAAGATTAATAATTTTACGTAATAAAATTTCACTAAAACGTTTGTTTTGCGATGTTTTCTTTGCTCACAGATAGTAGTTCTATATGTCCCTTTTATATCTTTGAACTTGTACAAATACTATAACGATATGCCATGGTTGAATGGTGCATCATGAATTGAAGTAAGAGGATTTTGGTACCGAACACATGAAACGGGAAAAAAGGTGAAACTTTTTCTAACACACCAAAGGAAAGACATCACCAACCACACAACAAATGGAGACGAATTAAGGTTAAAACAGGGAAGCTGTGATTGTCTAACTGCCAGTGAAACCTCCGAAAACTGTGTAGAAATGTCGACAAAATGCACAGGAATGGATAACTAATGCTTATATTCCGTTTTCACTGATCCAAGAGCAGCAGCACAGATTACAGGAGATATTGGCGTCCGAGAAAAAATGCATCGTCAGCTTTAATAGCACCATTAAAATAACCTAGGCGAAGAGTTGACCGCCAGTAAAAGATGAGGTTTCAAATGATATAAGACTCTGTCATGCCCAGGGGTGTAGGGTAGGGAAATTCCACCAGAGGGGTTTGCGAAATTTGAAAATCCCCAGGGTGGAATTTTCCTATCCTACATCCGTTGGCATGAAAGAGTATGTTTCTCTCATTCAAACTACCAGAATATGGACTGGCTATCATTTTGAAAATATCAATTTTCCCCGAGCTTTTTAGACGAAAACCAATCTATTGGCTAGATTTATCAAACCCCATATTCACAAAAACATTTGCGCAGAAAAAATAATCTAATCTTTCTGAAGTGTACGGGAAATATATCGTAATAGGTTTAAATTTCATCACAACGCCTTCCACATTGCGGCATTGTATTTTTTTTTACATATTCTTGAAGTCATTGTTGGGCCATTGTGACATCACATCACGTAAATGGGGGTTGACTTGACGTTGATGTATTAATGACGTGACGTCATTGTATTGTTTAAGTGACGTCATACCATTGTTATGTATAGGGTAATCCCCCCGCCTCAACCCTAGGGTGAGACAAAGAAATCTCACACCGAGGGTTGGAGATTTCTCTGTTACACCCTCAAGGTAGGGGATGATTACTTTTAGCTCACCTGGTCCAAAGGACCATAGTGAGCTTATGCCATACTGCAGCGTCCGTCGTCCTTCCATCAACTTTTCCTTTAAATCGCTACTAGTCATGAATGACTGAGCAGATTTTAACCAAATTTGGTCAAAAGCATCCTTGGGGGAAGGGAACAATTTTTTTATAAATGGTGGGTCTGGCCCCCCTGGGGGCTGAGGGGCAGGGCCCAATACTGAATAGGGGTAATATAGCAAATTCTTTAAAATCCTTCTTCTTCTGTAGAAATTAAAGGCTTTGTTCCATATTTGGTCTGAAGCATCCTTGGGTGAAGGGGAACCAATTTTGTATAAACCGTGGGTCTGGCCCCCCAGGGGCCTGAGCAGCAGGGCCCAATAGGGCTGAGGGGCGGGGCCTAATAGGGGAAATAGCATCCTTGGGTGAAGGGGAATCTTCTTCTGAAGGAATGAAAGGATTCGTTCCATATTTGGTCTGAAGCATCCTTGGGTGAAGGGGAACCAATTTTGTATAAACCGTGGGTCTGAGGGGAGGGGCCCAATAGGGGAAACATAGCAAATTATTCTTTAAAATCCTTCTTCTTCTGTAGAAATGAAAGGATTAGGTCCATATTTGGTGTGGAGCATCCTTGGGTAAAGGGGAACCAATTTTGTATAAACCGTGGGTCTGAGGGGAGGGGCCCAATAGGGGAAACATAGCATATTATTCTTTAAAATCCTTCTTCTTCTGTAAGAATGAAAGGATTTGTTCCATATTTGGTCTGAAGCATCCTTGGGTGAAGGGGAACCAATTTTGTATAAACCGTCGGTCTTGCCCCCCAGGGACCTGAGCAGCAGGGCCAAATAGGGGAAACATAGCAAATTATTCTTTAAAATCCTTCTTCTGTAGGAATGAAAGAATTTGGTCCATAATTGGTCAGAAGCATTCTTGGGTGAAGGGGAACCAATTTTGTATAAACAGTGGGTCTGGACCCCCCCTGGGGGCTGATGGGCAGGGCCCAATAGGGGAAAATAACAAATTCTATAAAATCCTTCTTCTTCTGTAGGATGAAAGGATTTGTTCCATATTTGGTCTGAAGCATCTTTGGATGAAGGGGAACCAATTTTGTATAAACCGTGGGTCTGGCCCCCCAGGGGCCTGAGGGGCAGGGCCCAATAGGGGAAACATAGCAAATTATTCTTTAAAATCCTTCTTCTTCTGTAGGAATGAAAGGATTTGGTCCATAATTGGTGTGGAGCATCCTTGGATAAAGGGGAACCAATTTTGTATAAACGGTGGGGGTGGCACACTTGAGGGCTGAGGGGCGGGGCCCAATAGGGGAAATAGAGGTAAAACTTTTAAAATCTTTCTTCTACAATAAGGGTTAAGGGATTGTATCCTAATTTAGTCTGGAGCATCCTTGGGTCAAGGGGACTCAATTTTGTATAATTGGTGGGTAAGACCCCCTCAGAGCATAGGGGTGGGCCTCTGTTTGAAGTTTGTTCTTGCTAAATCTCAAGTACTTGATGGATCTTTCTGAAATTTCATATGTACTTACAGCACCTACCATGGAGTGCTATATCTTCATACCAATTGTTTTAAACATATATTCAGGTGAGCGATACAGGCCTCTGGGCCTCTTGTTCTCCCATCCTATTATTTCAGTCACAGCTCCATCGACAGTATAGTTTGTAAACAAAAACACATGTTGGGTATGCATATCGTCATTCACTTTTGATGACGTCAGAATTACCGATGACGCATTTTAATGACGTTACAATTGAACACGTGCTAATTGGCACGAAGCTATCTCTCCCTAGGTTTCAAGTTTCAAGGTTTTTTTTATTCACCAAAAGTCTTAAGACTTATAGGTACAAACTAATCATGATACATTGTACATGTATATATGTTATAGGAGAGTGACTATAAGCATACAAGTGCAAACTAAACAAAGAACATAATACAAAAGCACAAAAATTATAAATACGTGTAGCTAATTAATCAATTTCGCCGCTTAGTGGCTAGATATAAATATTTACCTAGATTTGACAACTCTTTGACATTATTTACAGATAAAAGTTGGACAAGTTTGTAAACAGAGGGACTCTTATAATAATACTTCTTTATATACTTTAACCTCAAATCATTATAAAGGGGGTGACAAGCTGATCTTTCCCGGCTTAAACGGCAGACACCTGTGAAGGGTGGGAGAAAAGGAAATATCACACCGGTAAAAGTGCGGATACACCTGTACAGGGCAAGGGGGGGGGGGAAATGTCCTACATCCCTTTCTTACCCTGGACGGCTCTATCTTACACACACGGAAATGAGAGAAAGGGTTATTTTAAATGTGCGGATCATGTGTTTTACCCCACTTTTTAAAGAGTCCTTGAAAACGGCAACAGAATGTCAGTGTATTAAGCGAGTATTATTTTATAGTTAATGTTTTAAGATTGTGCCATATGGAGTCTTTACACCACTAAGACTAGCTGAAATATTTAAACATAAGCTGCCGCACGGGAACCCAGGTGTGACGGTGAACTATAGAAACCATTGAGTTGTAATATTTTCTTAAAGAACTGTTATAAGTAATTTCTATGCGAGAAAAAAAAGTACACTTACTTCCTATCGCGCCCATTGACGTTTAGGGCAGCAACAAAGTCCCTTCACTTCCATCTGCCCCTTGTAGGTCTCTAAATGGTACCCAAACTGTTCGTGTCTGTCGACAACTTGATGCCTTCTTTCAATTTTATTTCTACCTTTTAGCGCCATTTACCACTGTCTACCTCTTTAAGTCGGGTTTCAAATGGACAGTTACCCTTGCAAGACTAAACTACCCCCAGCGTCTCTTCCTCTTGGTAATGATAAAATGTTTCCCTATTTTATCTTTTGATAACTTTCCTGATTCATCTTCTGTTCTTTTATCTTTGACGAGCGGGCTTTGCATTGTTTGTCAAAAAAGGCGGAATTAGAACTCAAATTACATAAAACTATGGTAAAATATGAACAAAGGAGAAAAGGACCAATTACCTTGTTCATGAAACCGTTCTCGTGCTTAAGCTTAGATTTTGAGCTCAAACCGACTTGATTGTATTCGGAATGTAATTCATCCGTTTGTTTTGAATAATAAATGCTAAGTTTGTTTTGGCAAACAAAAATTGTAAGTGACCGGTATCGAGACTCTTAACCGCTTAAAACTACTTACTAAGCCACAATGTGCCGATCAATATATCAAATAGAAACTTTATTTATTTTATTTAATCACTCTTGTTGGCCCACAGAGGGTCTATGTGTGGGAGGAACCGGAGAACCTGGAGAAACCCCATCTGATCGGGCAGGTGAAAGGCAAGTGCGCTATCCACTGCGCGCACCCGACCACCCAAAGACTGATCAGTGAAGTCAGCTGTGGATATTTCGCTATATAGTTTACCTATTCCGCCCCTTAGTTGGTGGTAAAACGGGGTCATAAAGATGAATAAGTTAGTGGCCCCCTTGTCTCTGTTCATCGATACCCTTTTCCTCCTATCCCAGAGGGATTCTTTGATTTTCATCAGTTTCCATTATAGATGTTCTCCCTTTCGAGCACATTTGAGTTTTTACGAGTCGATGATATAGTTGTGCATGGTCTATACATAGATGATTTCTTGTATTATTTCAAAGAGATGTCGCCCTTATATTTCTAGTGAACAAGGCAGATATCGGAGAAACAATACAATAAATCAGATACATTATTATCCCACTTGTAATAAACAGTGTTTGTTTGACCAAACATCGTGTCTTGTTTTTACATTCCCTACCGCAGGATTGATAGATTGTGCACCTAACATTCGGCTAGCAATTATCGTTATTTTGTCTGTGTATAAAATAAATTGAACGTTTGAATACACTTTTAAAATTGTCTTACTGCATACTTCCCACCTCTCACAATGGAAAAGTGTGGGCAGTAAATCACTTGCTACCACAGTCCACTGCACACATAATCCCCTTTCAAGGCCAATCATGATTACATGACCATGAAAGGGGGTGTGCCCAGTGGACTGTGGCCACAAATGCTGTAAGAAAGGGGAGATAATCAATCAGTGAGTAACGATGAAGTCAATACAGTAGAGGATAAACTTAGTTGACACATTTCAAATAAGGGGAAAAATGGAAAGTTAAAAATGGTAATTTCATGATTGAAAAACACAAACAGATTTCCTTATCACGTGAGAGGATAAGCATTTCCCGGAAAAGTTTATAATCTTAAGGAGCTGTTCCTTTATACAAAATTGCAGAACTGGAATTCCTTAGGGATTGATAAACCCTTACATTGTATATATGAAAATGGTTTCAATATCCTGTACCTTTGCCACATCTTGAAAATTAAACTGAAAATGTAGTCAGAAATTCAACATTGTTTCCCGTATTTTGAACAGACACTCCTTACCTTCCCTGACACTGGACCTGGATAGTAATCCAAAAACACTTGTATCCATTATGAAGGATACACTCAGACTGGGCTATTGAGAATCTTACCTGGTTATGATTAGTACTCACTCACATAGGTACATGTAAATTATCTGCAGTGTAGGGTAGGTAAAAAGATTGTCCAGGTGAACATTTTTTACTCAACTTTTCTGTTTTGTTCGAGTTGGGAAGCATGCAGTAAGCCAGTTATTGCATGATTTCTCGTCACTCGGGACTTATTACACCCTCGCTTCGCTCGGGTGTAATAAATCCCTTGTTACTCGAAAACCATGCAATAACCTTTACGTACATTTCATTCATTATTGTGCTTTTTGTATTTATAGTCTTATTCAATATTTCTAAACAATGACCGATGACCTTTCTGTGACGTCACGCATTCAGACGTGTGGGTGTCCGAGTTCGTTACTAATACTTCACCTACCGTGTAAATACTGCTCACGTGCACGTGGTACCTCAGCTAAATCATTACCAAGACGGACTCCACCAAGATGGCGGATGTAGCGTATACCCTTGGCCTGTTGTTACTGACTGTAGCCGTGGGTAAGCAAATGTTCTTCGGGAGGGAGGGAGGGTAAACATTTAATGGATTGAATGAATTTGTGTTAATGTCAAACCGATACTATGCTGATAACGCTGCTATGAACCTGTCTGGTTGATTATATTGAAAAGGTTCGGGAAATAATTGTTCTTTAGTTCATATAAAATTCCTACTGTTGTACATATCTTTTCTAGTAAGTACTAGCACGTAAATATTACTATATATTTCTGACAAAAAGTAATTCCTATAAAAGAATCACAAGAATATATGTAAAAAAGCAACTTTTTGCCAATAATCTTTTATACGATACAATTCTTGCTAACCGAAATGAATCCGAAATATTGAACATATAGAAAAGATATCTTGTTTTTTTCCCCTTGTACCGGAGCTCCAATTATGAGAAATGGAAACTATCCAATATGGTATAAATAGTGTTATACAAACATAGCTCACAACATGAATTTTACTTCCACACAAAGAACGTCATTTGAATACGCCACTGTTAATTCTGATAGTGCAAAGATGTGTACGTGCATAATCATTTAAAAAAATCACAATACACTATATTCTAGAACATATACATTATTTTTACCATAATAACTTGTCCAATCTATTTGTATGTTTGTACAATAAAATATGTTTAAACTAAAAGCTAAAACAAATATATCCTTTCAATATCCTCATTACGTATACTGTTTGCTGTTATTATTATTTTTTCCCCAAGGTAATATGCAATCGTTACCGATTGAGTAGGAGGTGTTCACGCGTAGGAACGACCTGCGCCCGTGCGGAACGTGACACCGAAAACGGAGAACACCGCTCGACCACTATATAAAAAATATATACTAATATTAATACCCGGCCTCCTCTACCCCGGCCGGGTATTAAATCGACCCATGCCTTGTAATGGAGCAAGCCCGGTGTGATTAGCCCGGCGATTTTAGAATTAATTGACAGCACATTGATTTGTCCGCATCCATAAATAAGGTTGTAGTATGAACTATTTCTGTTGATATCCTGCACAACTTGAAGTTAAACTCTGCCTAAAATGTCGTTTAATAATTTATCAAGTTAACGTAGCAAGCGTAATCGAAATCTGAATTGACCGCCATGTTGGAAAGTTCGTCTCTCTTCCGATATTGGTCAGACGTCCAAATATGGGTGTCACGACCTAATATGGAAATTGTAGTAAACATGGCGGCATCAGTGGTAATACTATATTTGGCCATTCAGGCCATATATAGAAAGTATAATGGACAACATCACGCGTGATCTGTCATGGCGGTCGTTTCTATATTTTTCCCCAAGACGGACTTGGTTAATTTCGTAAAAGAGTTTTTGCATCGGTAAGGATTCGTTTTTTCAACAATTATGCAATATTTTGATAACATTATAATCATATGAGGCGTAAATTATATGCTTTTCTTACAGATTTACACTTTTGATTTTGCTCCATTAGTTGGCATAGGACAGACAACGCAATATATACAAAAAATCTCTCGTCGTCAGAAAGCTACGTTATCGCAGCTAGACCACTATGAGCAACCGTTTGGATTATAAAAATAAAATTAATAAAAAATAATGTTAATAAAAATATATCTGTTTGAATTAGAGATACGGTATAACCGGTCTAAACTGGATATGACTGGAACCAAAGTACATGGCCGCTTTAAACAGGTTCCGGTTTATACAGAGTTCTTTTGGGGGGTATCAACATTTTTTAAATATATGTATGTAAGTGAATAAGAACAGGAAATAAAGAACTACTTCAATTGTAACGTATTGATGATTACAATAAAATGCAACAGATCGAATATTTTACGTCTGGAAAACATCTTTGCGAGGATTGATGACCGAAAATAAATAGGAAGGCCGATATGAACACGGTGTATTACATGTAACAATGACGCCTGTTTTCAAAGAGACAGGGTCCGGATTAGACATGGTAGACATACTATAATTTAAGAGAGGAAATGCCGGGACCAAATGTCAAATACACAAACCTTGGCACGTGCAATTTCTATTCAATAGCGGATTGTTCACGTGGGAAATACACACCGGGCTGAAACAAAAGACCCCTGGTATATCATATTGCCTGACTTTGGCACCCAAACAAATAATATGAGCCAAATGTTACCTGCATGCAAAATATATATAAAAAAACAAACTTGGGTCAGTGCAAGTTATCGACTGAATCACTTGTTTTTATATTTTCGGTGCGACATCATATGTGAAGCTTTAAATAGTAATAGAGAATACCATTAACGTGTGATAGACACAATGAATTTATAAAATCTCATCCTCCGGTGTGTCATTTTTTTATATATATTCGTTTGATATACACTAGCATTCCTATTCCATCCTCTGCTTTTATCTGTGGTTGTCAATACCGGGTAGGCTATTGATGTATGACTATCTCTGGACAACTTGGACACATTTTTTTTAGTTTACTCTCCTTTTTGCAACCGTGTTTGTAAAATACTTCGTAAATACCATCACAAGAGCTCGTGACACCGAGTTATTTCTGACTTTTTATAGATGTATCCAATAATATCCCCGGTGGCCAAGAAGTTAGAAGGTTTGCATCCTTTAGATTTATCATCTTTGCATTTACGAAGAAATATATTTTCCTACACATTGTGCCTATACAAATTTAAAAGTAGGTTCATGCTTTCTACTGCAATGATCGCACAAGTCAACTAATTAAATCGGACCTCTTCCTGGATCTGACTTGTTATTGAAGAAACCTAATTGGGCCATCTACACCAAATGTAACATTCTGGATCTTGTAATTTCTGTTCTACCATTTCCCTACTTCTGTGTGTCCTTGTCTCCTTTGATACACCTACATTTGATACTCTTTAATCGAACTATTTTGTTGATGGTCTGTTGATAATTTGTTACACACAGCCTCTGTGGCAGCCGACTGGTGCCAGACAGACGACGATCTCTGGTTGAATACGTGGTGCCTTCGAGGCTGCTGTGGGATTACTAAGAACGAGTGCTGTCCAGAACTAGAACTATATGACGACTATTACGAATTGTACGTATAACGTTGTATTTAACATTAATTTTGTAAGCAACTCCGGGGGGGGGGGGCGTCCGTAGTAACATTATGGAAACATCAAATGGAGATAGATGCTGGTTAGAGCGGGCTAGTGCTGGTCCTGTCACCTGTACTGTTAGATGGAGACTTTAGTGTGTCCTCCTTTAACGAAACAGTTTATATGTAACCTCAAAGCGACATACCGAAGCGTTAATCGAATTCAAAACTGACGAACCTATGTCAAATTATTAGTAATGGATAGATTTACACGGGAACCATTGACAAAGTTACAACGGGAATAAGACCAGACGTTTTGGAAGGGAACGCGTCTTCTACTTGATCGACGACACATGTCATATAATCTAGGTCAAATCGTAGACATATCACGTCCTCCTAGTGAGAACAAGGGTAGTTACAACGAAACCGCAAGGGTCACCGATGAGCAATATAGAAAATGTCGACATATATAGTCCCTATGAGGTTATTATTGCGACACTAATACATGTCCATAGTCTCCATCAGCCTGCGTCTCTCTACACGATATTGTCAGAATTTGGAAACATTTGAAATGGTTGGATGTTAATTTACTGACTGACGATGAATTCAGTTTACTATCAATACTATTACCTCTGTAAACAGAGGACCAGTTAAGCCCTGGTTTGATAACAATTGTAGATCGTTGTACATTTTTTTTTTATAAAAGTGCATTATCAGTGTTTAATGGTGAGCGGTCATTGGCCAACAGAATAAGTCTAAGACAGGCTAAAAAACGGTATTAAGTTTGTGAGAGGAAATTGAGGCGAGAATGTTTAAGAATGGAAGGGAACGTGCTAGATTTATTATTATTTTATCGTAGTTTTTTGAATCGTAAGACATGTAATACAGGTGAAATATCATAAAATGATTTTTTCAATTATTTTAAAGATTTGGCAGGTGTAGCGAATGACAGTGATATTTTGGAAGACAAAAACATTGAGTGCCTATATCCTGAACTAGATGTTGATTTTAACATAGATGAATTATTAGAAGTAATTAAGGGTCTATCTGGGGGTAAATCTGATGGTATTGATATGATACTTAATGAATATTTTATTGAATATGAAGATATTTTTTCACCGGTTTTATTAAGGTTATTTAACACTATGTTACAAATAGGATATTTTCCAGAGTCATGGGCTCGGGGCGTCAATATTCCTTTACATAAAAAGGGCGATAGAAACAATGTCAATAATTATAGGGGAATTACATTAATTAGCCATTTAGCTAAACTGTGTACGTCGTTGTTAAATAAACTTCTGTTAAAATGGAGTAAACGAGAAAACATTGTTTCCTATGCTCAGTTTGGTTTTAAGCCTGGGTTTGGTACAAGGGACGCACTTTTTGGATTACATAGTTTAATTATCAATTCGATAGAACGTAACAAGAGGCGTTATTGCGTTTTTATTGATTATAGTAAGGCATTTGATAGTGTGACACCAGAATTTGTGGTATAAACTTTGGAGAAGTGTTATTCGGGGTAGACTACTTAATGTAATTAAATCAGTTTATGATAATGTACGTTCATGTGTGAAATTAAATGGTAAATTATCCGCCATTGTTGATTAACATGTCGGTTTATTACAAGGGGAATCGTTATCTCCCATGCTTTTTTCATTATTTGTTAATGATATGGAAAGTGAATTTATAAATTCTAATTGTCAAAGTTATGAATTACAGTTGATAAACCTGTTTATGCTGATGTATGCGGATGACACAGTTTTATTCTCGGAGGATGCTACCGATCTTCAGCATATGCTAGATCGTTTACAGACATACACTGAAAAATGGAGTTTAAATGTTGACATAGAAAAAACTAAAATTATTGTTTTTAGAAAAAGAAAAAGAATGTTGCATTCAGAAATTTGTACTTTAAATGGTAAATCTATCGAAATTGTTGACAAGTTTTGTTGTCTTGGATTAGTTTTTAACTATAATGGAAGATTTACTGTAGCACAAGATACATTAGCATGCCAAGGAAGGAAAGCATATTAACACTTAAAAAGAAAAATGAAAGATTTTGCCCTTGATACGGAAACTAAAATGTCTTTATTCTAAACTTATATATATGTTGCATGTATATTGAATTATGGGTGTGAAGTTTGGGGACATAATGTATCGCCACAAATTGAAAAAATCCATCTCCTTTTTCTCAAAGACCTATTAAATGTTAAGAAAACTGTCAATACTTCTATGGTTGACTTGGAAACTGGGAGATATTCATTATATGTGCAACGTAAAATGGCCATAATGAGATATTGGTTAAATTTTTTAAATACTAGTAACTGTGTTTTAAAATGCTGTAAAACTGTACGTGATATCAATTATTTTAATGGAATTGTCCTCCGCCATCTTGTACATTACATATGAATTTTGAATATTTAATTATGTATATTTGTAACCTATATGCTGTATTGCATTTGGATATATAGTAAAACTTGTAAACTTGTATCGATTATCGTTACAGAAGTGGAGGTATAATAAAACTTGTAAACTTGTATCGTTACAGAAGTGGATATATAATAAAACTTGTAAACTTGTATCGATTATCGTTACAGAAGTGGAGGTGTAATAAAACTTGTATCGATTATCTTTACAGAAGTGGAGGTATAATAAAACTTGTAAACTTGTATCGTTACAGATGTGGATATATAATAAAACTTGTAAACTTGTCTCGATTATCGTTACAGAAGTGGAGGTATAATAAAACTTGTATCGATTATCGTTACAGAAGTGGAGGTTTAATAAAACTTGTAAACTTGTATCGTTACAGAAGTGGATATATAATAAAACTTGTAAACTTGTATCGCTTATCGTTACAGAAGTGGAGGTATAATAAAACTTGTAAACTTGTATCGTTACAGAAGGGGAGGTATATAAAACTTGTATCGATTATCGTTACAGTAATGGAATTGTCCTCCGCCATCTTGTACATTACATATGAATTTTGAATATTTAATTATGTATATTTGTATCCTATATGCTGTATTGCATTTGGATATATAGTAAAACTTGTAAACTTGTATCGATTATCGTTACCGAAGTGGAGGTATATTCAACTTGTATCGATTATCGTTACAGAAGTGGAGGTTTAATAAAACTTGTAAACTTGTATCGTTACAGAAGTGGAGGTATATAAAACTTGTATCGATTATCGTTACAGTAATGGAATTGTCCTCCGCCATCTTGTACATTACATATTAATTTTGAATATTTAATTATGTATATTTGTATCCTATATGCTGTATTGCATTTGGATATATAGTAAAACTTGTAAACTTGTATCGATTATCGTTACCGAAGTGGAGGTATATTCAACTTGTATCGATTATCGTTACAGAAGTGGAGGTTTAATAAAACTTGTAAACTTGTATCGTTACAGGAGTGGAGGTATAATAAAACTTGTAAACTTGTATGGATTATCGTTACAGAAGTGGAGGTATAATAACACTTGTAAACTTGTATCGTTACAGGAGTGGAGGTATAATAAAACTTGTAAACTTGTATCTTTACAGGAGTGGAGGTATGATAAAACTTGTAAACTTGTATCGTTACAGGAGTGGAGGTATAATAAAACTTGTAAACTTGTATGGATTATCGTTACAGAAGTGGAGGTATATAAAACTTGTATCGATTATCGTTACAGTAATGGAATTGTCCTCCGCCATCTTGTACATTACATATTAATTTTGAATATTTAATTATGTATATTTGTATCCTATATGCTGTATTGCATTTGGATATATAGTAAAACTTGTAAACTTGTATCGATTATCGTTACCGAAGTGGAGGTATATTCAACTTGTATCGATTATCGTTACAGAAGTGGAGGGATAATAAAACTTGTAAACTTGTATCGTTACAGAAGTGGATATATAGTAAAACTTGTAAACTTGTATCGATTATCGTTACCGAAGTGGAGGTATATTCAACTTGTATCGATTATCGTTACAGAAGTGGAGGTTTAATAAAACTTGTAAACTTGTATCGTTACAGAAGTGGAGGTATATAAAACTTGAATGGAATTGTCCTCCGCCATCTTGTACATTACATATGAATTTTGAATATTTAATTATGTATATTTGTATCCTATATGCTGTATTGCATTTGGATATATAGTAAAACTTGTAAACTTGTATCGATTATCGTTACAGAAGTGGAGGCATATAAAACTTGTATCGATTATCGTTACAGAAGTGGAGGTTTAATAAAACTTGTAAACTTGTATCGTTACAGAAGGGGAGGTATATAAAACTTGTATCGATTATCGTTACAGAAGTGGAGGAGCCATCGCCGGTTTTGTCATCTTGTCGATCGTCGCCTTAGCTATGGTGGTTGGCGGAGTAATCCTGGTGATATATTTCTGCACTACCTGCTTCCGGCAAATAACGACACCGCCTGGGGTCGTTTACGCGAATGGCGTTGCCAACCCGGCCGTGGTCGCCTCTACTAGCGTCAACATGGCTTGTGAGTATAACACATACACCAACTTACTAAGTATTAAAAACCTCAAAATATTGATATAACAGAGCAAGCGAAAATAAGCAATTCTGACAATGTTAAGTAAGTATGCATTATTATGTACGAATCATTTTCAGTTTCATGAAAAACGAGGCAAATTATTGAAAGGAAATACATAATCCAAACGTTTTCCAAAAGGTCAGGTTAAAGGTCAAAGCATAGGTCACAGTTATCTTCTTTTCGTAATCTGCGCTCTTTCATCCCAAAAAGAACTTCCATAACAAATCTGGTTACTCCAAGTGAAAAAAAAATATGTCCCGGGCAAGCTTTTTAAAAGGTTAAGGTCAAATAATATGTCGCAGCGAAAAGGGTGTTTTAAGTGACAGAATGAGGAAATCAGATGGATTCGGTTGAATGTTTATTAACCCTAGTTGGTATTGAAGTAAATTTTGTCAACCAATCATATGTTTAAGCACGGAATTAGATTAGATCCAAGTCCGTGGTTTAAGGCCATTCAATTTTCCAACGAAAAATGCAAATTATTATTTTTTAACGATAACTTTTAACACTATTTTTGATACGTTATAACTACATACATTTGTAAGACTAAGACATATATCTTTGGTGTTGTTGAACGTTCACACTTTTGGTCCCTTTAGGGGAGATAACTCCCTTTAAGTGTAATTGTTTGTTCCATTCTGATCTATCGACCTCGGGCTAACGCAGTGTTTGTAACTGTATCGTAAGTTTTGTAACTTGGTATTTTACTAGGTCTACACTTTTTGGTTTCTATCTTATCTTGATTGGTGATCTTGAAGTTTGTCATTGACCTATATTTCACCTATTTCTTATCGTTGATACGGGTTATGTTTTTGAACCAAGAATTGATAATATTTTTCTCAAAAGCACTGATACACATTGTGTGCTTGTTTACGATTTTGCCTATCTTGTTAAAAACGGGCTACTATTTGTTTTAGTTTATACTGCAGTTGACTTGGTCAAACCGAACCTCATTAACACAAATGTGACTGATTGACATGCTATCAACGTCATGCACCGTGCTATTGTTATATGTGGCCTGGCCGACAGTTGCTTTGGTCGTATTATTAGCAGTACTCTACATTTTTATTTATTTATTTACATTGATATATTGGAGCGGGATTTTACATACTATTGTTGGCATTAAATAGTTGCCTATGAATTTAATCAAATGTATTACGATGATTTTTAGACTTGCAGAGTCCACTTTCTTGTATTGTAATTTCCTTTAGTGGTTGTGTTGGTATTTTTACCATATGTTGATCAAAGACCCTCATTTTAACATCTAAAAATACACCTTGCATACCAGGATAATTCCAACATCATACATCCCAAAATTCTTTTTCATATATCTGTGTCCTTAACCAAATTATTCCCGTTTACAGTGTATGGAGTATTCGGGAACTTCACCGCTATGTCCCGGAATTTTTCATATACTTAGATACATTTTGAAAGTTATTGATAATAGTGTTAATTTCTTTGTTTCAGCACACCCAACCCATCAGTCTACCGTATCTCACACAACGTATCAGCACCCTCAGACTGTCGCCTTCAACAAGGGGTTTATGTAAGCTACGTAACAGTCACGTGATTGCATGACAGCACGTGCGACATCCAGCTGGCATCACGTGTAAATCGCATGCTCAGGGACTTTTTCTTATCTCAATTGATTCCTGACTAGATTTAGTGTTAATATCGAGTCAGTTTTTTGGGGAATATTGAGATTTTGGTTTGATTCCGATATTGAGGACCCATTTTGTTTTTTAGTTTCAAACACTGTCATCCTTATTTATATGCAATTATATAAGTTGAAAAAGTTTATTGTAGTTATTTAGCTGGACTACTACGAAAGATAGGGCTCCAATCTAAACCCGTTAATTAATAAGAAAAAAAGTGCTTCATAAACCATACATGTACATATTAATAATGACTTAATTTAATTTTGTTTCGGCACTGATATTTTCAATGACAAGGTTTTTTTTCTATCAACGGACGTGACCGATTCCATGTATTTGTATTTCTGAACGGTATGTGTGTCTTTTTTTTTATTCTTGATTTATCGAAGATATATGTCAAACTTTCACAAACATAATTTTGTCAAGAAATATAAGCAATACAGTGTAAACCTGTATGTATATATCCCAGTGGAGATGCCACATCTGGTGGGGCAGGGAACGCAAAACTTCCGGAGAACCAATTTTTTCCGCCTGTATATAAAAAAAATCGTTATATTTTTGTCTTTTCTATATCTATACCGGGATCTACCTGTATTCGGTCTATGTTAGTCTACCTACTGGGATCTACCTGTATTCGGTCTATGTTAGTCTATCTAGCGGGATCTTCCTGGATTCGGTCTATGTTAGTCTACCTACCGGGATCTACCGGGATTGGTCTTTGTTAGTCTACCTACCGGGATCTACCTGGATTCGGTCTTTGTTAGTCTACCTACCGGGATCTACCGGGATCGGTCTTTGTTAGTCTACCTACCGGGATCTACCGGGATTGGTCTTTGTTAGTCTACCTACCGGGATCTACCGGGATTGGTCTTTGTTAGTCTACCTACCGGGATCTACCTGGATTCGGTCTTTGTTAGTCTACCTACCGGGATCTACCGGGATCGGTCTTTGTTAGTCTACCTACCGGGATCTACCGGGATTGGTCTTTGTTAGTCTACCTACCGGGATCTACC